TTCCTTCCTTCCTTCCTTCCTTCCTTCCTTCCTTCCTTCCTTCCTTCCTTCCTTCCTCTCTCTCTCTCTCCCCCTCTTTTTGAGATGAACTTTCATCCTGTCACCTAGGCTGGAGTGCAGTGACACAATCTTGGCTCACTACAACCTCCATCTCCCGGGTTCAAGCAATTCTCATGCCTCAGTCTCCCAAGTAGCTGGGACTATAGGCTTCAGCCACCACGCCCAGCTAATTTTTGTATTTTTAGTAGTGATAGGGTTTCACCATGTTGGTCAGGCTGGTCTCGAACTCCTGACCTCAGGTGATCCACCCGCCTCAGCCTCTGAAAGTGCTGGGATTACAGGCCTGAGCAACCTCACCTGGCCTCAAAGCCTCAGTTTCTGCTTCTGCAAACAGAAATGAGATTTCCCACCAGGTGGGTTCCGGTGGGCATTCAATGGGACTACATTTGCACAGGCTCTGGAAATACCAGTGTGCATCTGGGTCCCTTGTCCTTCACCTGGCTGTGCAAGTGTTTCATTCTGCCCCTGCAGGTTCATGCCCACCCAGGTCCCAACCTTGTCCCCAGAAGAAGGAGTAGTAGGACTATGCCATGCCTGGGACTCCTGTGGGCAGCCCCAAGTCTCTCTCCATGCCATCCTGACCCAGTCTGGCAGCCCACAGCTGGCCCCAGGAGCCTTCACTATCACTAACCCAGAATCCTTCTATCCCATCCCCATTGGTCATCCCTAGACCAGAGCCCTCCCATTGCCCCCACCCCAGGTGACCCAAGCCTTCCTTCTACTTTGTTATTGGCCAGTCAATGCCATTGGGCATCTGCCTTGGTTCCCAGCCTTACATCTGCCTATGATTCCCACCTTGATCCCTGGAGGGGTCTTAGCTCTTTCCAGGCTTCTGTGGCTGTTCTGTCCCCTTACCCCAGACTCTGCCTCTAGAAAGGAGAGCTGTCATGGATGGGGGAGCAATATAATTTGCAGCTTATGATTCAATGACTTAAATTCCAACTCCAGCTCCACCCTTATTAGCCATGCGGCCCCTAGCAGGTCATTTCTATGGGAAATCACTGTTTACAGGGTCAATGGGAACATTAAATGGGTTGATACATATATAGTACTTATCCCAGTGCTGGGCACATAGTACCATCAAGGTAGGGAACACATCTAATACTCTAAGCATTTCACATGTGGTAACTTCTTTAACTCATAACCATCCTATGAGACGGGTGCAGATATTCTCCCATTTCATAGACAGTGCAACCAGGCACAGAGAGGTTACATAACTTGCCCAAAGCTACATGGCTGGTAAGAGGCAGAGCCACATATCCAAACCAAGGGAGGCTGCTCGAGAGTCTATGCTCAGAACCACACTGTGTCTCCCCTATTTGTGGAAGCTGTTGTTTCTGTTTTAGTTATTTTGTCTGTATGTGTGTTTTTAGATGTCCTAAAACCAAAGCCCTCTGCCAAGTTTCTGGTTTGGACCACCTCCTGGAATCCCTCACTGCCCCACCCCACCCCTGGCACTCCAGCCTACCCTGCAGGTCAGAACTCTGCAGCTGAGGCCCACGCATCTGCGAGAGGGAGGGAGTGCAGTGTCTGCCCTCATGTTCTGTGTGTCTGTGTGTGCAGATGCTGCGAGCAACAGGGAGCAAGCCAGAGAGGCTGATGGAGGAAAAGTCAGAGACAAAGAGATGTTGCTGCCAAATCCCTTTCATCTCCAGCAGAGAGAGAGAGAGAGTCTGAAATTCCATGGTAGGTTGGGAGTGGTCTGTGTGAGCAAGGGTGTGAGAGAAACTGTGAGTTCCAGAAGGTGAGCAGAAGGCAGGCCGCCTCCTTGTGTGTGAGTGCCGCTGTGTGTGCACAGGGGAGTGTGTGCCCCTGTGTGTTTGAGTGGTGAGCTTGTGAGTGTGAATCTGTGAGCACACTGGACCATGAGCAATGATCGTTCCACCCCAGGATAAATGGCATAAACAAGGCTGAACTTCAAACAGGCCTTCTGATGACTTTGGTGGCAGAGAGGACAAGAGGAGGGAGAGGAGGAGGGAGGCTGCTGGAAGGAGAAGAAAAGGCAGCGAGCTCACGTGCTGGGGAGTGGGCATGTTGGATGCCTTCCACCGCCAAACTCTCCTAAAAGCCGTTCCATCCAATGGAATAACAATCACAGAACAGTCCCCAATACCAGAGCCGGGGCGTTTCCCAGGGGCACAAGGCCCGTCTCCTGCTCACAGGCACTGATATTTTATTGATTTTATAACAGCCTGGAGGCAATTGCAGTTGGGGCAGCAAAAAAGCAATTTTCCTCCCCTCCTTCTGCTTTCCTGCCAGACCTCTCTGCTGAACTGAGGCCAGTCCTGCACGGCAGCTGGGGTGCGTTCAGGTCACGTCGGTACAGCAGGAGTGCCAGTGCTCAGTGACCTCCTCAGATTCACCTGCGTGCTAGGTCCTACTGCGGGGCACATTATTGGAGAGATAGATGTGTGGCTTTGTTCAAGAGGGAGTGACAGGGGCCAGGCCAGCCCTCTCCTACCTGTCCAGCCCAGGCCATTGAGCCAGCCAGAGTTCCTGCCAGCCTTCCAGTTTGGGACAGGGATATAGAAGGCAAGTCTGGGCACACAAAGGACAGGAGGCCAGGATCAGGCAGGCAGGAGGCCCATACCTGATTCTGAAGCCAACATAAGCCAATGTCAGCTCCTCAGAGGGGTGGAGAGCAGGAGACTAGTCAGTTCACTCCACCTTCACTTTCCTCACCCATGCAATGAGCATGATCTCTCTTGGGATAATTGGGATCCATCACCTAGGGCATAGTAGGTGCTCACAGAACCCAGTGGTGTGCATTAGACGTGAAGAAAACACAGCTCAACTCAGGCTTGCCAAAAAGCACATGACTATTGGCTCACAAATTCTACCTTAGTAAGCACTAGAGTATTGGGAAGGTGTGGGAGGAGGGGTGGTGCGTGGTACCTGACAAGGGCTCAGTGAGTATCTATGGAGGACAACATGCTGAGAGCCTGAGGCGTGCACACATTCTAGAGGAAGTGGGGCCTGGAGAAGGGCACAGGCCTGGGAATCAGAAGCCAGAATGTCTGCCACAAAAGACCAGAAACAGGGGCAAGTTTCACACAGGAGTTACCTTTTAGAAAACATTTTGAAGGGAGTGGGAGTTTGCTGGGTGGAGGGAAAGGGAGCGGGAACAGAGTTCCAGGCATGGAAAACAGCATTGTCAAAGGCACCGAGGGTAAACTGCACAGCTCAACTAATAACAAACCCAGCTGACTGTCATGTGTGTGCCGAGTGTTGTTCTAAGTGCTTTTCATGAATTCACTCATTTGTACCCTTTGGGCGTATATTGTCGCTTATCCCATTTTACAGATGAGGAAATTGAGACCCAGAGAGTGAAAGTCACTAGACCCTGGGCACACAGAGCTGAAAGACACTGTTTGTTCAGCCAGGCCTTTGGTCCAGCTGGACGGGTGGGAGAAGGTGCAGGGGAGGAAGGCCTCAAGCATCATTTGGAGAAGCTTAAAACAGATGCTGTGGCCAGTGGAGAGAGATCAGTCTAAGCTCTGAATTGAACACTCTGGTGATTTCTGCAAAAGGTGGATGGGAGGAGTCAAGGCTGGAGGCAGGGATCATAATGGAGGCAGCTTCCAGAGGCATTTTTTTTTTCTTGCAACTTTTAAAATTTATTTTTATAATTGATGCATAACAATTATACTTATGGGGTACATAGTGATGTTTCGATAAATACAGTGTATTGTAATCAGATCAGGGTAATTATCATATTCATTGTCTCAGCATGTATCATCTCTTTGTGTTGGGAACATTCCATATCCTCCTTCTAGCTATTGAAAACTATATGTTACTGTTAACTATAGTCATCCTACAGTGCTATAGAGCACTAGAACTTACTCTACCACCTCGCTGTAGTTTTGTGTCCTTTAAAAAATCTCTCCCTATCTGGCTAGGCGTGGTGGCTCACACCTGTAATCCCAGCACTTTGGGAGGCCGAGGCAGGCGGATCACAAGGTCAGGAGATCAAGACCCTCCTGGCTGACACGGTGAAACCCCGTCTGTACTAAAAACACACCAAAAAAATTAGCTGGGCATGGTGGCAGGTGCCTGTAGTCCGAGCTGCTGGGGAGGCTGAGGCAGGAGAATGGCGTGAACCCAGGAGGCAGAGCTTGCAGTGAGCCGAGATCACGCCACTGCACTCCAGCCTGGGCAACAGAGCGAGACTCCTTCTCAAAAAAAAAAAAAAAAAATCTCTCCCTATCCTTCTTCCCCACTCCTCTTCCCAGCTTCCAGTAACCTCTGTATTGCTTTTTACTTCTGTGAGATCAACTTTCTTTTAGCTTCCACCTATAAGTGAGAACATGCAGTGTTTAACTTTCTGTTCCTTGCTTATCTTACCTAACATAATGTCCTCCATTTCCACCCATGTTGCTGCATATGGAAGGATTTCCTTCTTCTTCATGGCTGAATAATATTCCATTGTGTATATGTACCACATTTTCTTTATCCACCCATCTGTTGTTGGGCACTTGGATTGATTCCATATCTTGGCTATTGTGAATAGTGCTACAATAAATATGAAGGGACAGATATCTCTTTGATATGCTGATTTCCTTTTTTTCAACAGGAACCTCAGGCTTTGAAAGCATTTGCACACCAAATGATACATTTCTGCCCAGTGTCACTGCACTTTCACTCCCATTAGTGTTGTACCAGCTCCAGGAGTGCCCATTGCACAGATGAGACCACTGAGGCTCTGAGCTCTGATGACTAACACATAACTGGCATCTGGCAGAGACTGGACTCGAACCCATGTCCCACGACTCTAAATTATCTGGTGTACATTATCTTTCTCCCCTACCTCAGTTGCACCCTCTTGGAAGGCACTGTTCGTCTGATCCACCCAGCACACAGTAAACCCCCAACAAGGATGTGTAGAAAGAATGAGGGAGTGAATGAATGAGTGAAGCTGGATCTTGGGTGTTGGTCACTTCTAGCTCTAGGTGTCACTCAGGTTGTATCACAAAAAGGAAAACAGATATCAGCCCTTTCACTTTCCCTCCATCAATTGAGGGATGATTCCTAATACATTGAGACAAGGTAGGCAGAGTCATGAGAGGTGGGAGCAGAGCAGAACTCAGGGGTCCCATCCTGAAGATTAGACTCAGGGCCCTGAATTAGGCCAGAGGACCCAGTTTACCACCTTCTCTTACTCCCATGCTGGTGAGGACCACCCCACACCCAACCCCCAGAATAAATGCCAACCCAGGCTGTTGGAGGGACCAAGGAGCTGCTCTGAGAAAGTCCTTGGCAGCTCTAAAGATAGGTCCTTTAAATAAGGCAAACCTATTAGGGAGTGAAGGCACAAAACAGACTGCAATCCTGGAGGCTTGGGGAGATCTTGCTCCTCCAGGACTGCTGTTCTGGAGGAAGCCAGTGCTGACTCGGAAATCCATCTCTAATATGATGTAAATGAACGATGGAAGTGCTCTTTCCAGAGTATTTTTAAAATAAGATCATATATACATATATATATGAAGAGAGAGAGAGAATATGACAGATGGACGGGGTATTCAGTGGAGTATTTTTAATCCTGGAGTCAGGATTATGTAACGTTGGGAAGAGAAAAGCTAAGGCAGGTGGTGAGTCATCTGGAGCAGAGAGGGGAAGCAAGTCACACTCAAACCCCTCTTCCCATTCTGCCAGCATCTGCAAGTGCCAGGATGCACAGGGCCACAGCAAAGAGGCAAGAGAGGTGGACCCAGGGGTGTTGAAGAACCACCGTGTAAGCTGGCTCAGTGGGTGGAGGTGGTGACTTCACAGGTTTAGCAAGGGTTGTGGAGAGAAAGGTAGGGCCCAGTCAGGCCCAGCTGCAAAAGCTAAGTCCTGGAAACACTTGTCAATTTCCAGGAAATTGGAAAAGGTGGAGATATTTTCAAGTGAGTATTTGGCTCTGCACTGCACTGCAGACTACGTGTCATCTTTGACTTCCTGGCTGAAATGGGAGGCTGTGAAGGCTCCCCTCAGAAATTGCAGCTGCAGCCTGGGGATCATACCCTTTGCATGGCCTCCCTTAAAGGCTGACCCACAGGGGCTCTTCTCCAGGCCTGTGAAGCATGTGCCATAGCCAACAGGCCTGTGTGAAGACAAGAAGCTTTGAAATGGAACATAAGGGAGCCCATCTTGACTGTGAAGGAAGGAAAGCTAGAAACGAGTGAGGGAGGGGAGCTGGGGGTGTCTACCCCTGGAGAACTTCCAGAAGAGAACACCCACCATCTGCCCCGGGGGGTTTGCAAAGTCATCTGCTGAAGGCAAGGGGTTGGACCAGATGGCCAAACGGAACTCTCGTCCCTTCTGGAACCCTTTAACTCTAGATGCATTGCTGCTCAAAATACTCAACAGATGTCACAGAGTTAGCACCCGTGCCTTTCTTCTTCAGCAGAAGGAGCTCCTGTGTATACCCACTGCCTTCCATCTCCAATAGCTGCCATTTACTGAGTGTTCACCATAGTCCAGACATTGTGCTCTTCATGTATTATCACACTGAATTCACTATCCACCTACAAGATAATGGCTACTATTCCCACTTTACAGGTGTGAAAACTGAGGCATAAAGTCAGTGATTGGATTAGGACTTTAACCCAGTTTATGTGACTCTAAATCTCACACTTTTAGCCTTGACAGCATAGACGCTCAGATCCTACAGTTTTATTCCTCCAGGGCTGACCCTCCTCAGGGCTTGGACCCCTGCAGTATGCTTAACTGAAGCCAAGGCAGTCATCAGTCAGGAGAGACGGCTGCTAGTTCCAGGAGCAGCTCCATCTGTCTGTGATCCAGGGCACACAGGGTGGGAACTTGCTGAGAAAGTGGCCCCCACACCTCCGTGCAGCCAAGGATGAGTCTGCTGCAGTTGCTGCCCGAGCGGCTCTTCAAAGCCCTTGACTGGTCAAAGCAACTGGGCTGGAGAAAAGGGGACGAATCAACTCAGAGGCAGCCTTTGCTGCCTGGAGGGCTGATGCTGTTTGCTTCCAAGCAAACACATCTTCTCTTTTAGTTGTTTCTGTTAGAGGATCCTAGAGAAAGGCCTAGCAGGAGGCTGTGCGTGCCACGAGGCCTGGCAGGAGTGGCCCGGTTTCTGCCCTGGGTCTGGCCTGTCCATGCTGCTGAGACAGGAGAGATGTGGAGACCACGAGGGAGATGCCAGTGAGACAGAGACACAGTCAAGATTTAGGGAGAAGGAGATACCATAAGAGACAGAGAAAAAGCCCAGGACAGACAAGACAGAGACAGAGGCCATGAGAGAGGCTTGAGAGTCATGGAGACCTAGTAGGCAAATAAAAACAAGAGCAGAGGCCCCAAGAGACATGGAGCCTGACAGTTAGCAGGGTTTTATCCAGCTCCTCTATGTGGCAGGTGCTGTTGCAGGCATGGAAGTGACAGAAGTGAGCAAGACAAAGCCTCTGCTTCATGGAGCTTCCTGTCTAGTGGAGTAAGGGGCAGGAGGGAAGATACCCCACTCACAAGAATCTCCCCAGACACTATGACAACACCTTTAGACAGCAAGACGCTGAACCAGGGAGGCTTCGATGGTGGGAAACAGGCAGAAAATGTCATAGGAACCACTAGCAGGCCAAGAAGGGAAGAGAGACAGAGAGAAAAAGAGAGAGAGAGACCGTAGGATAAATGACACCAGGGAAACCAGAAGATGTGGGACCATGAGAGATGCCAATAGTCAGGAATCCCGAGAAACCAAGACAGAGTTAGAAAGGAGACAAAAACCGAAGAAAGAGACCTGCCTAGAATCAGGGAGGCCAAAGATGGGAACAAAATGAGAAAGGCACAAGCAGAGAAAGCTACAAACCTGAGTCTAGGAAGGCAGAAAGGCTGGAAGAAACCCAGAAAGAGAGAGACAGACAGACAGACAAGCATGGAGACAAAGAAAGAGTAGGACAGAGAAACAAAGAGACTATTGCTATCATTGATTATGGAGTTGGGTTTTCCAGGCCTCCCCTAGATCCACGAACTTCAACCTTCTCTTTGCCAAGGGTTACTTTCATTATCCTCCCCAAAGGGCCTCAAGGTTTGAAAGATATTTGTCTACCAAACAATCTGCATTTCATGAGTAATAATTAATTCACTTTCCCATTTTTTATTCATCAAAGACATCTATAACTGGCAATCAGAGCTTCAGATCAGCGGGAGATAGCTCATGTTGCCACACTGAGTAGCTGTACTTCCAGCCAAAAGCAAAGAAATCTGCCATTGAGTCATCAGCCTTGCACAGCCTAATCACATTTCTGTTAAGTTTTGGGAGATGTTGACAATAGTTCAAAGGACACAAAGAGAGACCCTGCTGCCTTTGCAGGCTCCTGCAGATCCAAGGGCCCAGTTTCCAGATGATAGTCCCAGGAAGTCCCTTCATCCTGCTGGCATTGAGCTGCACGATGTGGGCTGAGATCCTGGGAAGGCTAGGCTCCTTTCTTGGGAGTATATGGCCAGAAATAGACCCATATCATCTATCTTAAGTAGCCTTTTTACAAACTAACTATATCTATTAAAATAACAGCATAAAACCTCAGCTTATCCCTCTCACTATGTCCTAGTTCTTGTCTTCCTCCACAGCCGCACTTGCCAAGGGAGTATGGTTATTTTCTTCTGACCTCCATAACATGGCTCATTACTCTTTTATTCATTGTCTTCCAGATTGCCCAAGCCGATAGCTTTTTCCAACTCAAGCTATTTAGCATTTAGCATTGTAGCCACTGCCCTCCTACTCTGTTTTCAGATGTTAGACTCAGGTCCAGAAGACTTCAGTGTGCATGCAGGTTTGTCTATGCACCTGCAGAGGCAGTCTCAGGACTCCCAGAACAACCACCCAACCTATGGGCAACCACTCATCCCTCGGTGTTTCTCTCTTCGTTGTCCCTGTCAAAGCACTAAAATAGCCTATGAAGATTAGCATGTTATGGCCCCCAGTCCCTGACCCTGGCCATGCACCAAGCTCTGAACCTGCAGGAAGAACTTGGTTTGAAGTCTGTCTGTAACCTCTTCTTGGGCTCTGACCCTGAGTTGGGTTGGCATTGGTTTGGTTTCTTGTTTGACCCTCATTATGGTGTTCTTTCAGATTCTCCTGTAGCTTCCCTGTCCTGCGTGCTGACTCCTATTTCCCCCATCCAGTGTCTTCAGTGTGAGCATCCACCCAGGCATCTTCTTCTGCTCCCAGCACTGCCCTCCTTGTCATGCACTCTACTGCAATCTCCCACTGACGTGTTACTCATCCTGCCCCACTCCTTAAACACTTTATGCCCATCCTCCACTTCTGCCTATTCAGCTCCCACTGTCTTTTAAGGCCCACTTTCTTCCCTATCCCCTGCTTCAGAGAGCCAATTTGATGCACATGTAGGATCTCAGGGGTCCCCCAATACATCCAGTAGAGAGGGCTTGATAAACCTAAATCCTAGGAGATTCCAAGAAGACAAGCACAGAGTGTCTCTTCCAGGCCAGCATGGAGCCAGGAAGAAAAGACCAGACTGGCATGGTCAGAAACTAGACACTGGGGCAAACAAGGAGTGTGGACAGCAGTGGACAAAATAAGATCCTCTTCTACCTTTATGGCCAGGGCTGAGTCTCCAGAAATTCAGTGTTTTAGCCACCAGTCTGGTGCAGGATGGACACCATGTGACATAAAGGCAGAGAGTCAGGGCAAATAATTCCTAACTGCTACATGAGTCCTCATGACTCCGTGCCATCATGCACAATAGCAATATCTCACCCCACCTCTCTGTTCTCCCAAAGCACTTCATCTTATTATCATTCATGTTTCACTTATAGCTGCTGTTTGTGCACATGTGCTATTTTTTTCCTGTTGAAAGTATGAAATTTCACAAATATTGATGACATTAACTCCCCAGTTGTATATTAAAATTAGGAGAAAATTCTACTTGAAGAAAGACTTAAATAAATGCATTGTCTTGGGATAGGTCTATTCCCTTCTTACTTTCAACCTTATCTATAATTCATTTTTACTTAGCTATCTCATTTCACTTGTTTATTAACAAACATTTGCTGAGTGCCTATAATGTGCCAGGCCCCATGCTAAGAGCTTGGGTGCCACAAGAACCAAGACACAGTCTCTGTCCTCTAGGAGCCACTATGGTAAAGACAGAGAGATACGGGAGTAAACCATTGTCAAGCAAGGTAATAGGCATTAAAATAGAGATATGTGTTGAGTATTTGGAAAATACATAGTAAGAGCGATTGGCCAAGACTTTGATAGTGACAGTGGTCAGGGAAGGCAGGGATAGTGCCTTACCAGGATCTGGAAGGGCATGTGTCAGTCAGAAGAGGATTGGAGAGGGGAAGAGAATTTCCAGGCAAAGCCGTTAACCTAGAAAAGGGGGAGAGCATGACACACAAATTAGTGGAATGGCAGGTTGTTCAGAAAGTCTAATAATAGGGTGCCTAGTGGGGTAAGTGAGGGGAGAGGTGAGCGATGTGGCTGGCTGGTGAGGGGAAGCAGAGTGAGATCATGAAGGGCCTTGTATTCAATACTAGAGAGTTTGCATCACGTATCCCTGAGTTATGATAAGTATTCCTATCCCTTTGAAGAGATTTAAGCAGGGAATGGCATGACTAGATTTGGGTGGTAGGTAGAGCACTTCTGGCCAATGTGGAAACAAGATAGGCAGATATTGTAATAGTTCAGGTGAGATGTGATAAAGGTTTGGATGAAGGCAATGGGAATGCAGAAAATGGACAAATTAACATGGCATTAAATAGGAAATGTCCACAGGTTTTAAAGACTGACTAGGTTGCAGATTTCTTTGAATACATCCTATGTCAGCAGTCTTCCTGGGTTGGGTTTGCTCTTACCTTGGTCTCTGGCTTTCAGAGCTAATAAGCAGCAGTAGACTTACCTCCATGTGATGGCTTGCTCCAGCAGCCCATGAACTGAGCAGACTCTCTCTTCAAACACACTGAAAATGATTTTTGCTCGCCACTGATTTTATTAAAATTGGATGTCACTCCTGCCTTGTAGTTTTTCCAGCTCAGTTCAGACCAAATTTCATAGTCAAACAAAAAAATGAACAGAAAAACCTTCTGCAACTAACTTTAAGTTCACAACCCATCCCACCCTCTTTCAACACTCGTTATTGCCTTTTTTCTCTTCTTGTTGCTCCAAAGAGCACTGGTGACAAATGTGGCTGTTAGTAGTTAATTCTATCCTCTTCTTGACTGTTTTTGCCCAATCAGGACTGAAGTTTACCTTAGTTTCCAGGGGGAATCATGCTATTAGTTATCTATTCACCTATCTTTGAAGCTCACCGCCAGTGTGAAAATTACTTTGCATTAAATTATAAGGAGGTACTCATTAACTCGATTATGCTGGAAGAAACAGTTCTAATAAAGAAACTTTTTCCCCTCTTGAATATTTTAGACATATTTTGTAGGGTAGAATTAATTTTTAAAGAAAATTACATAGTGTTTTTCTTACAAGCAAAAGTAGATTGAAGGGAGAGCGGGGAGGGATGGGAAGAAGAGGAGAGAGGAGGGGCAGAGAGACTACATGAGCACAGAGAAAGACAGAGATAAATAGAGAAAGGAGATGACAGAGACAGAGACAGAGTGGTCACAGATTACTTCCTATTGGAGTTGTCTTTGCTGGTTGCTATCATTTTGGAGATAGTCTATGGAACAGATCATCAAAGCCACTTTTTCACACTTTATAAAATACACCAAGACTCTGTGACAACTGCAGATTAAAGAAGTAGTACCAGTACCAGCTGCTGGTCTTATAGTTTTTCTCTCCTGGTTCCAATGCTCCCAAAGGCTGTCATGACTTAAAACTTTCTACCCACCATACGCTATGTCTTGCAGCCATTAACCAGGGCATAACTCAGTAAGAGCTGACATATCATCTACCACTCCTGCCCCCACAACTTGCAATTTTTTTCTAATTCCCTTTCCTGCCAGGTTCCAAGAATTCAAAAGCTTTTTAACCTCACACTGATGAAGACCACATTGAAGTGGTTAGCATAAATGTACTTCTATGGAAAAATAGGGTGGGGCAGAGGAAATGCCAGCCCTGCAATTTCCCAGAGAAACAGCCATATACGTGTTTGTAGTGCCAGTTCAGAACCATGGACAGTGACAGGTAACACATGCCCCACCTACCCTCACCAGCAAGCCCCTCGCCAAAAAATAAAATCACAAGCCTTGCTTTACTAGAGAGTTGGAGAATCGAAACACCCAATACTGATGATGAATTATGGAGGAAGGGGATTGTAGGACATTCTCTATTCAAAACGTATTGAGAAGTTTATCTCCCGTGTCTGGTTGTGTTGACTCTGCACAGGAGTGCTTGCTCTGTGCTGAGCCCAGGTTCATGTAGCTAGTAATACTAGACCTTGGATTCTGATCCATGTCCATGTGACTACAAAACCTCTGCCCTTAACCACAATATGGAGGTTCTATGTCTGAACCGGAGCCCCTTAACATGAAGGAGTCAGCATCGCTAGACTAGGGGGTTCCCCATGGTGGAAATTTCTCAGATTTTGACCTTGCCTCATCATATATTCTTGTGTGCTCTACATCAACCCTGAAAAATTATCTCACAGGAAGAAAAACGACTACACAAGAAGAATTAAAACAGAAGCACATCATTTTAGAAGGAAAGAAAAAACACCACCCAGAACACAGCTATTTTTCACCTCTGCCTATTATCTTTCAGCCCTTGTTGACACACTGACATATTTTCCATCATTGCAATCAAAGCAATTGTAGTATTTTCATTGTATTTTCACTTAGTGTCTTATCATAAACCTTTCCCCAAGTTGCTATACAGTCTCTGTAATGATCACTTTTAATGTCTGTATAATGTTCTAACAAATGGATACATCGTGATTTACTAAACAACCCCCTAATTGTTGAACATTTAGGTTAGTTCCAGTTTTTTTATTTCAGAGATTTGTGCTATGATGAGAATTTTTATGTGAAAACCACATGGGGTGATTGAAAGAGCATGAGATGAGCTTTGGAGTCAGACAGAAGAGAGTTAAAATCACTCAACAATGTAACCCGAGTGTAACTCAACAATGTAACCCTTCTCAGAGGTTTTGTCTTGGGGAGAAGGCCAGGGAAAGTTGACATTGCCAGGACAGAGGGGTAAGGGTGAGGCGAAATCAGACAACCTACAGAGAGAGATGCAAAAGGCAGGTGGAGCTACTGATTACAAACTGCGACTTTACAACTTTACCTCCTCAAGCCCAGAGCTGAGCAAAAGCATTTTAAACAGAAGAAGGAAGGCACACAAAGGGGATGTTTCTCCTTTGGCAAAACCTTTGGACCCAGGGCCTGAGATGGGCAATATAAATAGGAGATCAGCTGCCAGAAGTCTTCTTCAATGAGGTATGGTGAGAGTAGGAGGCAGAGAAACACCTCACCCCCATTCCTCTGGACTCAACATCTTAAGGCTTAAAACCCTGGAGTCACTTCTCAGACCCAGAAAACTTTCTCTGGGCTCATTCTTCCTTCCTGAAAGCCCAAGGGCACATCCTGCTGCCTCCACCTTCTGGAGCTACCAGCACCCTATGAGCACTGATCATAGCTAACAGTCAGGACTCAATCTCCCCAGCTCCTCCTGTCCCTTTCTCCCCAAGGACAAGCTCACAGCACCCTTTATGGTCATCTTTTATGTTGCTCCATGAGGGTAGATAAGCCTGAGAATTACCAGATTTCTCGAACCTTCCATGGTTTCAGTCATCATCCTTCCTTCCTGCATCCTGATGGGGGGACCCCTGGGCTCTTAGACGATCTCCATGCATTCTCTTTGACTCTTGGCTGGGCTGAGCCCAGGTTCATGCAGCTAATAATACTAGACCTTGGATTCTGATCCATGTCCATCTGACTGCAAGACCTACATAAGCCTACATGTTCAGTTTGAAGATGCACCTAGAGAAGGCTGAGAAGCAGATCGAACCAGTTGACCATCCGAGTGTTTCCAACTCCAGTGGATAATTCTGTTTTAATGGGACCTGCAGACAGAGCAATCCTTCATTAGTGCGGTCCCATGTCCACACCTCCGTGGTAAGGAAGATCTTCACCTGACCTACCTCCAAGCCACCATGGGCAACTCTACTTGGGGTGGAGGGGATAGAGCATGGAGTGGAGAGAGAATGGGAGCCTAGGGCTGAGCCCACCCACCACAGCCCTTCCAGGGAGCTGGCCATCCTCAAGGCACCCCACCCCAACCCACTCCCCTCCATGCAGCTCCAGAACACGACTGAACTGTAGGCTGAGCTCTCACCACCCTGGGGAGCAGGGAGGCCTTTTCAGGGGAAAGTTGCTGACCAGCCCCTTCTCCTTGGCTGTCAGGGCTAATCAACATCAGGGCAGTTAATGGGGAACATAAAACCTATTTAAAAGCTACATTTACCACTTGGCTGGTTCCATTACATTGTGCAATATCCAGGTGTCACACTTACTCTCAAAGTGTCTGTCTCAATGCTTCCTTGAGCTGCCGGGGTTAGGAAGTCGCTGCCAAGAACCACCTGAGGAGGACTCCTCCACCTATCCTCACAGCGGTCTTCTCTGCAGGTTCCAGTGGTGAGAGGTTCCCCAGTCCATGGAGCTGCCTGAGGAGGAAGGTTATGGAGCCGGGCACAGCAGTGAACATTGAAAGTACCTGGCCTCTAGCCTCTCCTCCAAGCATGGGAGGAGTTCTTGCTCCCTGCTATGGTGGTTATGATGCTGCCTATTGGTGCCAACTCTATACCCACTCACCCCCTGGAATCTGGACACCAATGGGCATAATCTGCTGAGTTAAGGCCTCAGTCTCTCCAACTGTCCTTCGAGTCCAAATGAGTAGGGTGGCTTTCCATGGCTTCCTGACATGGGCACATCCGATTCCTGCTCTGATTCTCTCACTGAGGATCTGACTGGGGACAGAAGACAAGCTGGGGATTCCATTAGAATAAAGCCCAGAGCCTTCTCCTCCCATCCTGTTTATCTCCCACTCCACTCTGCCATCAGTGCCAGCCCGGCCCACCCCACCCAGCAGCATTCAAGCATTTTATTTCCTTTAAGGCTAAGCCAAAAATGTCTTCACTTCCTTGCCACTGACCTGCCGTGTGTGGTGCCTAATCTGTGGGCACAGAACCCTTGCTGTGCTGAAGGGTAAATTCTTGGACTTTGAAGGAAGTCTCTACTGAGATTGCCAAAAGTGACTCTCTTTTTATTCATCTGGTAAATATTTTATAAGTACCTACTGGACTCTGTCCTTGGCCTAAGGATACAGAGTGGGCAAAGCATATAGTTTAGAGGTAGACACAGGCAGAAATCAAATAATCACAGAAACACCTATTGTACACTATGGCAAGTGATATGAAGGAAAAGCACAGGAGCCCCAGAAAGCAACTAACAGGGGTCTTAACCTGACCTGGGGTCCGGGGACATCTTCAAGGAAGCCCATTGAGGAGGTGTCTATGTCTATCTTTTTTCCTAGTCCTTGCAGTGTCTGGCGCACAGAAGATTGCCTAGTAATGCTTGTGGAGTGACTAAGGAATGCGTCTCATCACATCTCCAGCACTGTCATCATCACCCCTCCACCCTTTCAGCCACAATCATCCCATCTCTATAGCCAAGTCAAATCTTGTTTAATGCAAACAGGTGTCAACCTTGTAGTAGAATCAGGTCTGGCCACCCTCCCTGCTCCCACATACATGGCGTGGGCACCCTTTGGAAGAGCCTGAGAAGAAAGCTGTTGCCTCAGGATGAGCAAAGGATCCGCCTCCCTCCTACTCTGACACTTCCAGCCACTCTGCTCTCAACATACATGGCCAGCTGATGTTTTTCTGCAGGAGACCTGGTGAATGTGTTGGCTCAGACTGGCAAGGGAGGCTCCTGCTGTGCAGGCTTCCCCCAGGGTTGGGTGCTGGCAAACCTGGATTTCCCAATAGTCTGCAGGTCCTCCAGGATCAGCCACTTGCAGAAAATAGAGCTGCTACTTCCCATTCTTACATACAGCAAGCCTGCTTATGCTAGGGAAATGAGGGATGCTTGTTTGCCTCTAGAGGTGCTAGAAATGTTCAGAGGTGCTATAGCCTTAGATTGTATGGCTCTCAATAGTACAAGAACCTATCCTGTGAGGGCATCTGGTGCCCACATATCCAGTCACACCCAATGGCATCTGCAGGGGCTCCCCACACCACCTGCTCAATGGGCATCTCTCCATCTTGCACATGACTGGGTCACAGGGTAAACAGAAGGCATGGCCTCTCCCTCTGCAGCCAGTCAGAGGCTGCCAGAGTGTCATCCACATTAGCATACATCCCCAGTCAGGGTGGAAAAGCACAAAATGCACAGCACTATGGGTCAGGAGCTGCAGGGCCAAGTCCAGGCATCTTTAACTCACTGTGAGTTTAGAAGTGACCTCCCTTCTCTGAACCTCATTTCTCATGAAACAAGGGGTGAGGCTAAAGCAGTTGAGCCAGCCCCACTTCAACCAAACCACCACCAATTTTATCTGCTTTGTACGTAGAGCTTCTGCAGAAAATTTTCACTTAGAAAAAAAAAGTTGATTGCTAAATGGAGTAATAGTCCCTAATGCCCCTTCCAGCTCTGACATTTCATGATTTATGAGTAAATGAAACAATGTATATGAAAGGGGCTTGGGCCATGGTAGGGATGCAATAAACAGACTTCATGATTACTGCTGTGCCTTACGTGTGTGATGAGAGCCCCTGATAAATGCTGAGCTGAGATTTGGATGTAAGGCCTATACCATTTTCTGATCTTCAAGTCTAGGAACCACACTCTCTAAAGAGGCTCGATAATTACGTAAGTGGATACATGTAGAAAGAAAAAGAGAGAGAGAGAGAACAGGGAGATAGGGGAAGGAGGGAGGCATAAATGCCAGAGTCAGGCCCTAGAAGCCCTCAGGCACTCAAGTTTCTGGAGAAGAGGGGTGTAGACCCCAGATCCCTGGCTGCCAATTCCATCATTGGTTGCCATGGAGACAAGGGAGCATGGGCTCAAGGCACTGGTCTCTCCACCAGAGGCAGCATCTGCACCTCTTGATTTTTTTTTTTTTTTTTTTTTGGTCTCAGGCTGGAGTGCAGTGGCGCGATCTCGGTTCACTTCAACCTCCAACTCCCTGGTTCAAGATATTCTCCTGCCTCAGCCTCCCAAGTAGCTGGGATTACACGCACTACCATGCCCAGTTAATTTTTGTATTTTAGGCAGGTGGATCACGAGGTCAGGAGATCAAGACCAGACTGGCCAACGTGGTGCACCTCTTGATTTTATTCAATTGAAGAAGACATGGCGAGGACTTTGTGCTTCTCTCATCCTGTTTCCCAATGCCACCTCACTGCCCTCTGCTCATCTCCAGGATTTCCCTGGGTAGCCCAAGCCCAGGTCCCCTTTGCATAGAAGGCCTGCTGCAGCACACAGGCTCATGTGTTGATTGAGCGTGTGATGGGAACAAGGCAGACTTGGTCAGAGCAGGCACATTGAGGAAGGCTGGAGAAGGGGTTGGGGCAGGATCCTGGGAGCAGAGAATGACAGCATCAGAGTTTGAAGAAGTGGGTCTGACAGGCTGCAGAGGGTGGAGCAGGGGGGAAGAGGCGGCAGGCAGGAGGCCGGGTGGAAGGCTGCTGGAGTCATTCAAGTGAGAAAACGAAGGCCTGGCGTAGGCCAATGTCAGAGGAAATGGACTGGAAGAATGAGCCCTGGAGTTTCAAGGCGGCAGCAGCAGCTGGCTTTGTTACTTAGATCTAAAACCTCGGAACCTCAGAGTGTAAAGAAATCTTCAAGATCTCCTAGTCCAGCTTTTCCCAAAATGCCTTCCCTGGAAAACCGGCCCCATAAGAGGCTCTATTAGAAAAGTGTCTAAGGTCAAGTTAGCTTTGTTGTAAATGCAGTGTGCCGAAGCCCTCCCAGTGCCGAATCCCTCCCAGCTTAATAAACGTTCACAGAGGTCCTGCTGTAAAGGAGTTTCTACCTTTACATTGTTTGACTCGACTTTTATTTTCACCTCAGTCCTGCTTTTAAAAAATGTGGTTTAACATTGTTTAATCCAACTTGGACCGTGGAACTTCCCTTGTTCCATTTACACCTTCTGGAGCATTAGGAAATTATTGATCTAGTCGAAGAGATCCCACGCGCAGCACAATGGTGGAGGATTGAGAGGCTGAGCTGTCCCAGAGATGCTCACATCTGTGACTCAGGCGCCCCACCTGTGGGGGTCGGCCTAAGACAGGAGTGCTTAATGTGGAAATGGTGATGTGGATGACAATGTTACACGATTTAAAATAGTGAAAATCATAAAACAGCTGGAGGTTTAACAACAGGAAAAGGATCAGTAAACTGTGGCATCATTCCTTGATGGGTCTTTTTGCAAGATGATTATGAATATGATCCAGTTACATAGAAGATCACTTAAGATTGAATAAATCACAAGAATGGTTTCACTGTACTTTAAGAAAATATATGGGAAATATAAAGATAAGAAAACACATAGAAATTTGTTTTTGTTTTTCAGGGATTTTTTTTTTCCCAAGAAAGAATTTTCTCCAAATGGTGAAATTAAATTCTGGTTGTAGAAATAAACAGTCTCGCCTGAAATAGATGGCAATTGGCTTGTACATCAGGCTTCTGTGAGTCTAGTCAGTTTGAGTCAGTTTCCTCCATCTCATTCTCTGCAGGCATCTTGAGTATGTGGACTTGTAGGGCTGAACCCTGGTATCCCTGTTGAAGTATGGCCCCTATTGAGACCCATCCAGAATAGCCACTTCTTGCCATTGACTCTCATATCACATTCTCAACTTTAACAGGGCAAACAAGGTTTGGGAGAAGGAACAACTGGAGCGTAAAAAACGAGGTAACTTGACTCAGAACAGGCCCTTTGAGAGCTTTCTACATTGTTGTTTGGTTCTTGACCTTGGCTACATATTGGACTCACCTGAAAAGCTTTTTAAAAAACACTGATACAGGGGTGTTGGCCTCAGATATTCTGATTTAATTGGCCTGGGGTATGCTCTGAGTATTGCAGCTTTAAAAAGCCCAGGTGATTCCAATGTGCGGCTGGGGCTGAAAATGCAGATGTGAGCCATGGATGAACCCAGGCTGAGACTGAAGACAGAGGAACTTGCCATTTCATAAGGGCTCTGCTTGAAGTTGCCACTCAATGCTGTGGGACACAGAGCGGGTGCTTCTCAGGGTCTGGGGTCAAATAGCCTGGGAGGCCTCTCAGATGACAGGCATGAGGGCAGGCCTTGTAGGATGCTGCAGAGTTCGCTCAGTGGGGCTCATGGGTCAAGCAATCGGCAGGTCCCCAGCAGTGAGACTCCCGGGCTCCCCAGAACTCCTGTTCTGGGAGAAATCACACTACCCCTTAAGGCTCCAGGGTCCCTGCTTTGCAAATGAAGACATTGCCACTTGCCAAGTGGATGGCTTGTAGGGCTCAATGACTTAATATTTTTAGAGTAGAAGGAACAAAACCGCAAAAAGACACTGTTGTTTTCCCTGTCATAATTGATGGGGCTCCGTCTTTTCTGCTGTTGAAGCGCAAGCTGCAGCTATTTTTCTTTTTTTAACCAAACACCACTGAATGCGAAACATTGATTTTTTTTTT